ATTACACCCTATTAAAATGTCAAAGGGACACACTAACGTGCATAGTTCTTTATCACTGACGAGGTATATCCTTTCCCCAAATATATACAAACAATGGGGGGAATTTATCACAAAATCTGGAGCCGCTGTGCATGGCAGCCAATCAGCATCTCTCTTGCATTTTCAAATCTTTACTGAACAAACTAAAGAGAGAAGCTGATTGGTTGCCATGTGCAATTGCTCCACATTGTGTCTGCTCCAGTTTTGATTAATTCCCCTCAATGTCTATTACAAAGAGAAAGTCTGCAAGATGTCAAATAAGCAATTTACCACAATCTCTAGGATTAGGGGAGTTAAAAAAAATGTTAAAGTTAAAACTCAAAAACCTACTTGTATTATTTGAATCTTTATTTGGTGTCCTTTAAAAACATGTTCAACTGTCCTTCTTTTCTTCCAGAATCCACTTGGATAGTCACCCACTTCCTCTTCCATTTAAGGCTTCAGTTTATTTGCTGGTATTTCTGTAAGAGTATTGTATATAAAAAACAGTCTACTTCAGTCTTGCTCATCTCTTCTTCTTCCATTACTCTAATAGATCTTTCTCTACAGTTTTTCCAATGACATGCTTTTGCGCACATGCATTAATGGAACCTGGTGGGGTCATCTTCACTGCAAAGGCTGTGCAGTGCTGAGTAGGGTCGCACAATGAAGATTGCTGAAATGGAAGGAAAGTAAAGTGTTTTACCAGGCAGACTGCACTCAAGGGCTGGAGATTCATTAATCTAGACAGAAAAGCAAACATTTTATATATTGCAGCTTACCAATTCTTAGATGTGTTTTTCATTATTTTGTTTTACTTTTTACCTTTATATTCCGTTGGTGATCCAGCCAGCAAGTCTTGTTTTTCAACTCCCTTTAACAGACCAAGTTGTCCAGCAAAAGCAGCAGAGAGAGGGTTGAGACAAACCATTTAACATTGACAGGGGTGCTTACAATGGTCAGCTTTTATTCATTTATGTAGTACATGTAGTTGTCCTTTAAGAATTGGAAGGGAATTACAGTTTTGTTTCCTTGAGGTATCATTGATGATATGGTCCTTCAGTTGTGACATTCAAATTTTAGATACCTTGTTACCTCTATGGTAGCATTGTTAGGCCTAAAGATGATGATAGCAGCCTGCATTGTCCATCTAAGGCCTACATAATCCTCTTTTTTATGGAGTCCTTTGGCATTCAGCAACCTGAGAGGAAAACATACAGAAGATACACCTTTGCTCCTCCTCCAAGGGAAGCAATTTAGAGCAGCTTCCAAGGCACTTTCTCAGGTGTCGATGTCAATACCTTCCCTAAATGTGGAGCAGGGGAGTGTCTTGTGTGTAAGCCCAGCTGCCTGTGCACGATGGTGCAGGTAATGCCCCACTGGGCAAAATTAAGAAATGCAGGGGTATGCATACGCAAAGAATGATGGGTCATGTAGTTCTGAGATCTGCATTAAGAGACGTTATGAGTGTGCACTTCCCCACCCGGCGGTATGGAGAAGCAGCACACAGGAATCTGGAGGATATTAACTCTACTTTCTCTGTTGTAAGATTGGTGATCAGGACAAGGCATGGGCTCCTCACATTTGTTGTGCAAGATGTGCTGTTGATCTGAGAGCTTGGCTCAGAGGAACTTGGAAGTCAGCGCAGTTTGCTGTCCCATGATATGGAGAGAACAGAAGGATCACGTAAGGGACGGTTCTGTCCGACTAATATCTCTGGTTTCGCTGCTAAAAATAATAAACCAGTTGAGTAACCCAATCTGCCTTCAGTCATGAGAATAGTGCCACATGATGACAGTCTGCCAATAATGAAGCCACCAGATAAATGGAGCTTTGACAAAACTGATGCTGCAGTGCACCAAGCAGGTACAGACACCTAGGGCGCAAAATGGTCTAGCACCGGCCCGGGGTACAGGTAGTGACAATGACCCAGATTGTGAATTGTGTGTTTCTGGCCAGAATCATCTCATAGCACAGTCAGAATTAAATGACCTGATCAGAGACTTGCGTTTGTCAAAATCATAAGCACACCTAACGGGTTCAAGACTGCAAGGATAGTGTTTGCTGTCACTAGGTATGACATTTCTGTCTTTCAAAGCTGACAAGATGATCTAAAACATTTCTTTGCACAGGTAGAGAACCTTGTTTTCTGTACTGACATCAAAGGAAAACTATGAGGTGAGTGATTTACACTCATCCTCATAGAGCCGACCAGTGACAATGAAACTGTTACACGTCAGCTCTATTGATTGGGAAGCGAGCGCACACATACCGTTGCTTGCTCACTTTCCAATCATCTACCTGCAGAGTGGGTTGACTGCCCGTCACCGCTTCGAGCAGGGATTCCCCCTCCCCTCTCCAATCCTCCAGCTCTGACTGGCGGAACGGACGGGGGAGGGGGCGGGTACAGCGGGCTCTGACTCTAGATAGGCAGAGCCTGCTGCAAATCAGTTAGCTGGATGGATCTCAACAGTATTGTCGGGACCCGTCCCGTCTGCGGTGCTCTCCGTATATACACTATATTGCCAAAAGTATTGGGGCGCTTGCCTTTACCCGCACATGAACTTTAATGGCATCCCAGTCTTAGTCCGTAGGGTTCAATATTGAGTTGGCCCACCCTTTGCAGCTATAACAGCTTCAACTCTTCTGGGAAGGCTGTCCACAAGGTTTAGGAGTGTGTCTATGGGAATGTTTCACCATTCTTCCAGAAGCGCAATTGTGAGGCCAGGTACTGATGATGGACGGGAAGGCCTAGCTCGCAGTCTCCACTCTAATTCATCCCAAAGGTGTTCTATCGGGTTGAGGTCAGGACTCTGTGCAGGCTCCTTGCTGACCTCCCTCCGGGCTGTGAATGCAGAAGTGATGTGTATTACATCACTTCCGCATTCACCTGTCAGTCATCTGGCTGCTATAGCCAGAGAGAAGAAGCTGATTAAGCAGATCTGTGCTTCATCAGCTTCTTTTGGGGTCCCCAGGTGACATTAGGGGTCCTAGAGACCCTAATGTCTCCATAAAGAGGACCTGTCAGTGTACATGTGCTATTATATAGGGGGATTGTATTTCCCTATGTAATAGCAATAACATGGGTAACTTATGGGTCTATACTTGATCCACAAAAGATAAGTGACCAAACATGACCCCTAGGTGATAATATCATATAAAACGTGATCAATCCATAATTTAAATTAATATAAAAAGAGTCTCTGTGCAAAATGTATATTTCAGATAAGTGCAATATAAGTGAAGCCTCCAGATGCCTAGATGTTTAGTGAAGCTGGCTGGAGATCGTATTGGTGTTAACACGTCCACCCCCTCAAAAGTGCGCACTCACCGCAATCTGCTGGCTGTAGCAAACAGCCAAGAAAGGCGTTTATCTGATAGATCACGGTGTTGCAGCGTCTTCAATATACACTTTTCAATCGATCTCCAGAAAACGAAGTATCCCCGTAGTCATGGAAAGAAAAAGCTCCTCATTGTATAGTATTTCCAGGAACAGTTTATTAAAAAGTTTAAAATTTGTTACAAAATCACAACTGGCCTGTCAGGTCGTACAAAGCAGTCAGTACTTCCATATTTGGTATGGTGCAAGATAGACCCGCCCCTACGCGTTTCATCATCAAGACGTCTTCAGGGGAATATGCAGGTCTGACGCCCATCGGATTGCCAGAGAAGTGTGATTCCTCACTCCAGAGAACACGTCTCCACTTCTCTAGAGTCCAGTGGCGGCGTGCTTTACACCACTGCATCCGACGCTTTGCATTGCACTTGGTGATGTAAGGCTTGGATGCAGCTGCTCGGCCATGGAAATCCATTCCATGAAGCTCTTTACGCACTGTTGTTGTGCCAATCTGAAGGCCACACAAAGTTTGGAGGTCTATAGCTATTGACTTTGCAGTTTGCAACCTCTGCGCACTTCAACATGCGCTGACCCGGCTCTGTCATTTTACGTGGCCTACCACTTTGTTGCCGAGTGGCTGTTGTTCCCAGTTTCTTCCACTTTGTTATAATACCACTAAGGCCCCATTCACATGTAGCGACATACTTTTGCAGCGGCAGGGATAGCGCGACTTTCGGGGCGACGTTCCAGCGACGGTAGCGCGACCTTCTCCGTCGAGCTCCATAGAAAAAAGCAAAATCGCGCAAAATCCGCCGGAAAAAGGGTCCTGTAGAAGCGACTTGCGACCGCGACATGGAGCTAAGGCAGCTCCATTGACTATCATTAGCCGGCGACTTACGGGAGGAGGTTAGTATATGTCCTCCTATATGTCCTCCCGTGACCCATGGGATGAAAAGTTTACCCCATAGTTCTCTTTTAACTATAGTGCTACATATACCAGATGATGCTTTATATATAAATTAACATTATCTGATAAAACAAGTCAAAGCAATCCAAAGTTCATTTTATTTTCCTCAACATTTCTACGTGATCCAGATATTCAGAAATGATATTTGTGTTCAGCTTGCAGGGGTCTATCATAATAACAAGTTTTTCAGGCAGCAAAACCTTTATAAGGATTTGTGGTCCAGTGTATTTTGGCCAGAGTGGGACTTTAACATTCACAAACTGCATGCGATATGTTGCAGTACAGTCCATAAGAAAACTGTTGGAATGTTGCTAAGAACGTTTGAAATGTTTTCTCCTCTCATACAAGCTGAAGCCTCCGTGTACAAGTCGTAGAAATCCTCATCTTCCCTCGGAGATGCTCCTCACCAGACACGACCACATCTCCACAGTCCACACTGCTAAGGAACCAAGACCTGGCTGCGGCAGTGCGGCTGGCTGGAGGCTGGAGCAGCAGAGCGCGGGCACGTGAAGGAGGCGTGGCCTACCACTCGTTGATAGATCAATTGCCATTTGCGAGCGCGTCATGTGTTTACCGGCAAAACTGCGTGACGTACAAGCTTATGTCTGAAAGGGTGGCGTGCCTGGGTTAATGATGGGTGGGGCTACGCAGGCAGTTTCAGTTGCCACCTTGTTTAGTTGACGGGTTGTGCTGGTTATCTCCTTTCCTTGTGTTTGAGAAGAGCAGCGCCCAGAGCCCGCCCTCCGCCAGTGCATGTGCCTCTCTGTGTGTGTCTTTAGGAGCCCAGCCCAGCCCCGCCTCCTGTCTTCCTGCTAGATAGATGGCGGCGGAGAGCAGAGTGCTGTCCTATACCGTGTACAAGTGGAGCTCGTTCTCCTCCAGTTACCTCCCTGAGTGAGTACATAGGAGGGCTCTTGTACTGTACGTGGTACGTCTTCTCTTGCCTTGTTCCCTGACCGGCGCTGTGTATGCGGGCAGTGCTGTGCAGAGAGCAGGCCTGCAGCCTGGGCACTATTCATAGTAAACATAGCGTTCTTTCACATGTGACCCTGGACTGTCCGAGCTGCACGTTACCCGGGGGTCAGTGTGGGGTCGGCTGCTGTGTATAAGGTTCCTAGTTCTTGTGTTTTCTTACAGCCATTGTTTGTAGGATGATGTCATGTCTGGAGTTATTCTGTAATGTAGGCATGGAAGGCTGTGCAGGGAAACAATGTATGTAATGCTCAGATTTCTCTGCTTTCTCTACAATATTTGTTTGTAATGCAGAAGAAAGGTCACCAAATGCATGTTTACCTTGAGCTTATCTGACCTTGAAAGCTCTTAGCCCACTGCAGGATAAAGTTAACTAACAGATTGCTGGATAAAAGCAAAACTATCCGATATTCCTTATTACTTGTCTAAAGTCACATGATACTCCAGCCCTGCGCTGTCTCTGTTTACATCCAGCGGGGTCCTCCTGGTGCCCAAATCACTGCCTGTGTGATATGGACGCTTCTTATTGGCTAAAAGAGGATTGATGTAGGGCTGCAAATGATGATTTTCATATTGATTAGTTGGCGGATAATTTTTTTGACTAATCCAGATTAAAAAATTACATTTCCATCCTTTTAATAAATACACAAATGCATTGTCACAAAGTTTACTTCAGAATAAAACTGCATGCACAATCTTTTTGCAATTGCACTGCATTGGAACGCATGGCATTGTGGTTCCAGTGCAGGCGATCACACTGGTGGGAGGTGCTTTTAGGGTGCCATTGAAATGAATGGCATTGCAACACACCTCCCACGGCAGAATTTTGTCAGGCCAAAACTGAAAATGACTATTTTCCACTTTTTTTATAATTTTTTTTTTTTAAAATAATTGTATTGCAAGCACATGGTGCTTTAATAGCTTCAGCCAGGGAATGACAGTTGCCAGTGGCAAGATTCCACAGATGGCAGCTGAGTGTAAATACAGCAGGTGCAAAAGCCAGTCTGCTACTAGCCATTTCAAACTGCAATAGCAGGCTGGATATTGCACCTGCCCACTGCTTGCTGTGCCCTTCTCCCAGCAAAGAGGGGAGGACTAGAGGATCCTACCAACTAATCGATAATGAGAATAGTTGACAACTATTCTCATTATCGATTAGTTGGTTGCAGCCCTAGAGTGATGTCATTGCAAGAGTAATAACAGTCCCTCACAGGTCAGTTTCTATCTACAACACTGGGCTAATAGGCTTCCGCACCCAGAACTAACTGTAGCAAGTATGGAGGACTTGGGTGAGTAATTCCCTTTACCAGGTAAGTTATATTTATGGGTTATATTTTGCCTGGAGCGAGCTTTAAGTGCTTGTTCACACCAAATGCAGAGCAGATCCGGTCAGGTTTCTGCACACGCAGTGGGTTGTGCCGCGTTTTTGATGCGTTCCGGGCCGTATTTGCTAGAAAAAAAACTTATTTTTTTTTAGTTTAACATGGGCTTTCAGGCACTTGCATGTGTTTTTGATGCGTTTTTGATGCGCTCCGGAGCAAGTAAAATGGGGCTTGCCGCAGTTTTTTCACCTGCTCTGGATCTGCACGCTGCGATGTGAACTGGAGGTCAAAATACCATAATACCATTCCCTATTGGGAGTTTTCTTCTCTACTTCCTAGTGACAACTTTTTACATTCTCTAACACTTTCTCTTTTGGTGACTACAGTCACCAAAACAGAATTTCACCACTGGAAACGCAGACATTAATACCTAACAGAAGTTGTAGTTAGATCAAAATATTGGTTAGAGTTCTACCTTAACCCATTTGTGAACAGTGGTGGCTTTTATTTTTTTTTGCGTGGGCTACATGCCCACAAGCTTCCCTGGAGTGCTAAACTAAAATTTAGTACAGTAGGCATCAGTTCACCTGGCAAAAAAACTCTTTGGGGCTATGTATAGCTAAATGAATGGTATTTGCTTGGCACTTCCACCACTAGATGGCGCTGATGAGCATTGGTTAAAGTTATAAATTGTCATCCCTCCCCAATGATTTGTCTCTCTGGTGCAAGGAGAATTAATGTTCTTGCAGCATCAGACACTTAACCTTTTTGTGACTGTAATATAACAAATGTAAAGTATTTTTAATAACATGGTCTGATTTAATGGGATTCTGTTCTGTCTTACTATAGAAGTATATGCACCCTCTCATCCCTGCACATAAACAGTGTTTGTCCCAACAGTACATCTACTCATCCCTTCCAGTCAGTCAAGCAGCAGCAAGACATGCCCCCCTAGTGCTTCTGTACACAGTTCCCTAGTGCTAACATGTGAGCTGCTTGTTTATAAAGTCGTACTAAAGGCTGATGCATGCTTTGCATTAATGTAAAAAAACGCCCAGTACCTTTTTTGACTTCCCTGTCTCCCCACATTTACTTGTCAGTGCCGCCGATCTCTGAAGCATTCTCCGTTGATGGACTTCTGCCGTCAGTCAAACTGTTGGGTGGAGAGGAGGGGCGTGGCCTGCTGCAGGGCTGTGTGTGTCTATGGACGCCCACAGCAACTGCGGGCTTGGCCAGGAAATGCGCATGTACAGGTGCCACCACAGCAACTGCTTAGCTGATAGCACCCATGCAGAGGGCGGGAGGGAGAGCAATGCGAGGATCCACTAGAAAACAAGGAACTGAAGGATGATACACCCCCTGCCCCCAAAGTTCTATATAAATGCAGTCTCCCATTGTTAAAGATAAAACAAAAAACACTAAAGGTTAATTATCACTTGAATCTAAGTTTGGCTAATTCTTTACTCGGAGTGCGAGACAATGCTGCATATATCCTCACATTAGAGGGATGTGTGCTGCTCTAGTGGTGCTAGTTGTTTCGCTTCAACACTTGTAACAAATATGCAGATCAAGAACATTAGAAGAGAAAAATGGTCATTTTTCTCATCAAAACATTCAGAGTTATTCAGAAAAGGGTGACGTTTGGAGAAGGCAGGAGAAGTGACCAATCTAGGACAACATAGCTGAACCTTGTTTTGCTGAGCTGAATTGGAGACATTTTTCCAATCACCAATTTGGCCTAGATTGTTCACTTCTTCTGCCTTCTCCAAACTCTTCACCCTTTTGTGAATGGCCCTGTTAGTTCACGTCAAGATATCACGTAGGTTTGGAATCACATTAAAACCATGGTACAGTTTAGCTGGTGAAAGTCAAGATTTGAAATGATTATTTTATCTCCCGGACCATTGTTATATCTCCACCTCGAATGGATCCAGTTTAATTTTCTGCTTTCTTCAATGGATGCCTCCTTTGAGCTTCACAGTTCATTCCAGCCATATTTTTGTGAAAATACTTTTACATTTAAAGGACAGGTGTGCTTTTACCTAACCCAATCCTCACCCCACCAGCTGCTTAAAGTGACACCAAACTCTGGAGTTAAATCTTTAAATGCATTCAAGTACCTTTTTAACTATTAACATAACTGTGTATCTTATTTGTGTATCACTCGGCTGTAGAGTCTCATATCATCTCTGAATTGGTACTGTCCTTCCTTCTGGGGGGTGGCTACTTTTCTTCCACATGCACCCTGTGTGTGTTGTAAAGTAGCCACCACTCCAAGCTCACTCCTGTGACAGACTATAATTCCAATACAAATTAGTAAACTAAACCTGAGATTGTAGTCCATTAAGGGAGTGAGCTTGGAGCGGTGACTTACAACACACACAGGGACCATGGGGAACAACAGTAGCCGCCCTCCAGAAGGAAGGACAGAGTCGGCACCAATTCAGAGATGATTTGAGGATCTACAGCCGAGTGATACACAAATAAGATACATTTTTGTTAATAAGGTACTTGCATGCCTTTTAAGATTTAACTTGAGTTTGGTGTCACTTTAAGTCTGTTGCAGAGCCATGGCCTACTTTTGATGTTTATTCCTGTCCTTTAGCACTGGCAGTACATGCTTACTAAGTGCTGATCGACTTAAATGAAGCCTTATACTGAGAATTCTCGATCTTGATATATTGCAGGATTGAATTAAAGCACCACACTCTCCTATAATAGTCCAGGTACATATTTAATGCAGGCTTGAGGGAACGGTATAGAAATAGCCAACATGTTTCAGAACCCTTCATTAGAACTTCAGGGGAAACACGTATCAGGACTGCAATGGCTTGACTTTGTATACCGTTTTGTCCAGTGTGAGAACGCATAGAGCTCTTCAGCAGCTGATTTGGCAGTCATACTGTCCTTACGCATTTTCTCTTTTAGCCCTAATGAAGGGGGGTAATGGCACGAGCCCCCAAAACATGTTGGCTACTTTTATACTGTCCCCTCAACCCATTGAATAAAGATGTGTATCTGGCATATTAAAGAGTACGTGGCACTTCGGTTCACAATCTTGCCGTGTGACCCCACAAACCAAGGACACAGTGGTGATCTGGGATATAGAATTTCCCTGTCTGGTAGTGGGATCGCCTATTCTGAATCTTTCTCACATCATTACTTGCCAGCCACACCAATAGGATACACCTAGTGCTTTCTTTCCAATCTTGAGATATGGCCCTATTTAAGTGATAATAGAAGTTCCTCAGGACGAGATGTAAAGACAGCAGGGGGTTGTTGCTCTTCAATGGAGGCTAGTATGATGGGAAGGGGAGGGGGTTAGTTAAGGACTAGGTAAAAGGGCGCCTTTAGCTAGAATTACAACATTTAGCTGCTTAGGATGCTGTTCGGAAACCTGCTTCCAAATTTGTGACAGGTCTTTATAAGATATAGAGGGGAATTGATCAAAATCTGGAGCAGTTGCCCATGGCAACCAATCAGCGTTTTTTATTTCTTAACTGAACTACCTGAAGAGAGAAGCTGATTGGTTACTCTGGGCAACAGCTCCAGATTCTGTCTGCTCCAGTTCTGATACATTCCCCCTTTGTGTTTAAGTTGGTGTACATGTTGGATTTCAGATTAGGCGTGTGCAGATGTTTTCATGGCATGTACAGATGTGTTAATAAAAACTTTAATCCTTGATCAATGTATCTACCCAGTTTGTAATATTTACATTCCTAGATGTCTTGGAATTCACAGCGCAGGGATTTTTCAGAAATGAGAGAGAGTATGGGTTTTTGTGCAGTACCTTTTCATGATCCGCACGCCAGAACAAAGGTATAAAAGCTAAATGCTATAGTGACCAAACTGGTTTTATCTTTCAATTGAAACAGGATTTTGGTTATGGGCAGCATAGGTGAAATGTGCTATAATTTCCTCTTAGTCCTGTTGACAAATCCCAGATTTGCAACCTGGTGGCATGACTAGGGCAGTGTTTGGTTGGTATACATTACCGTCTTGAGTAGTAAACACTCTGTGGTGGGGTAGGAACTTCCTCATGTACCCAGTGGAGCTTACAAGATGTTGTACTGTTACCTTTTTGTGGCGTTGCATCATAGAAGAGACTCATTGTATCAGATTGCATATGTAGGTTATGCAGGCTGCTAAAATATATAATATTTCCTCACTAGGGTAAAATAGAATTGACTTTTCAAGTCCTAATATAGGTTCCATTTAGCAAAGCTGGCAATAGCCCAGACTTGACCTTGTCTGAAAGAACAAAGGTCATATGAACTTGGATGGCTGTGAATGTAAATAGAGTTTGCAAACAGGTAAGCTTTAGACCTGGATGAACATCATCATTTTTTTTTCCTGCACGTTTTAAGAGTGTGACTGCTAAATCAGCATGTTAGAAAAAAGTAGAATCCAGGCTGTTTTATATAGATAATGTTCTGCTAATTTTCCAGTATGTGCTGCACTTTGCTGAACGAAAGCAGCACAATGACTTTTTTTGTTTTGTTTAAAGCTTTTAATTGTTTCAAATGTTACCTCTTTTTTGGG